TGCCTCTTCTTCGGTAAGTTTTGAAGAGCGTGGAACCACCTCTTAACTGCTGTTGTTCCTAAGTCCACCCTGACCGGAGTGGTAGCACCTGTTAGGGTCCCAGTTATGAGCAAATAATAAACACTCAAACTGGGGTCAAAACACAATGATAATACAAAAATAATTTTTTTATACTAAAATTACCAGCAAAACATTTTCATTTTTGTAAATATTGTAATGTAAGGAAGGTTACTGTATAGAATAAGCAAACGAAGGTTTGTAATGAACGATAATGCTTAGGACAAGAACAACACATATAAGATAAGATAGATAGATAGATAGATAGATAGATTACCCTTCGTTTCATTCGCTTTATTGATCTCTCTTCTTCGTTCTTTCTAGCGAGCAATTTATCAGTGTCTGAACCCATCCAGCCATCCACATTTCCTGATTTCTCAGAATCAGCCCCGAGCAAACAACTGACTCTTTTCACACGCAAACTGCTCCTCTGCTTCAACAGTGTCATGTTTTTTTTTTTAAGATAAACGGGCCCCAGGCAAATACGACAGCGATTCAATACCTTCTCATGACAATACGTAAGAACCCTTCCAGAATTCCTTTTCTGCAATGTCCAATGACCAATGACGTTCATCCATCGCGATTTGGTGGAGTTGACGAATTTCTGCTGGAGTGATGCGATTTTATTTCGAAGAAATTGTTTTTACAGTTTTGGGATTTTTCTATTTCACTCCCCCCGTCTCTCTCTCTCTCTCTCTCTCTCGCTTTCTCTCTCTCTTTCTCTCTCTCTCTCTCTCTTTTCTTTCTCTTTCTCTTTCTCTCTCTCTCTTTTTCTCTCTCTCTCATTCTTTCTCTGTCTCTCTCTCTCTCGCTTTCTCTCTCTTTCTCTTTCTCTCTCTCTCACTCTTTCTCTGTCACTCTCTCTCTCTCGCTTTCTTTCTCTTTCTCTTTCTCTCTTTATTTCTCTCTCTCTCATTCTTTCTCTGTCACTCTCTATGCCACTTGTAGCAAACCTCCCACATTCCCTTCGTATTCCATCGATTAGACGTAAGTTCCACTCGAACAGCTCCTTCCTTCGAATCACTTCTCTGTTGAACCGACTCCCAAGAGGATGTTTCCCGATTACTATAATCTTAACCTGCTCAAGTCTAGGGTTAACCGTTATCTTCCCCTCTCATCCGTACAAACTGCCTCTTAACTTAATCCTCTACCTCGAGTAGCCCTTGGACCTTTTACAGGTGAAACTTATAGTAAAAATACACACACACACACACACACACACACACACACATATATATATATATATATATATATATATATATATATATATATATATATATATATATATATATATATATATATGAATATTATATATATATATATATATATATATATATATATATATATATATATATACCAGGTATAACAGCACGTATAGTGTAACAGTATAATTATCCAGCCCACAAAATATTTAATATATAAAAGAACACTAAAATAATTGAGTTTTTTCCAGGTTTTCAGATAAGACGTTTATCCATCTTGATACCATTATTCGTAAGAATCTCTGAAAAAGCCTTTAAGTTATTCAGCTAAAAAAAGAACTGATTAAAAGTTAGTTGAAATGATAATAATGGGACGGAAGGGGATAATGGTGAAGCTGATAATTACATAAGAAGATGGTGGTGTGGGTGAGGTGTCTGGGGGTGCGCGGCTAATGGTGTTATTTGAATCAATAATGAAGATGGTCATGTTGTTGGTGCTGGTGGAATTACATATTGAGAGGTTTCAAAGGTAAAGTTGTATAGCTGAGGGCGATGGTGATCAGAATATTTTTAATGATGACAATGAAATATCTAACTTGAGCAAAAAATCAATTCCATTCATTCTAAATCGATGCTAAAGTAATTTATATTCTCACTTAAGTACCTAAAAATTTATTTGCTAATATTAAGAACATAAATCGTTTTTGAAGCGCCTAGAAAATCTAGAAGCTTAAATGTTCTTTGTTTTTTCTTACCTTCCGCATGTGCTGTTAGGCGTCGCGGGAAGACACAGTCGTCTGTCAGCGGCAAGGCGATTGACCTGAAGGAGAGATATCCCGTGAGCTCTGAGAGTGTCTGCCATTGGTCTGCCTTTAGCTATCCCGCCACAGTACCTGAGGGTGTATGCTCGTAGGGCTGGTTGGTTGATACGCATCTGAGTGGGAAATCCGAACCATTTGATCCTATGTCGTTGGATGGAAGCTAAAATTAAGTGATTAAAACATTGTCTCGTAAAATTAACTATCAAAACATTTCCACGTAATATTTTTCCTTTTTAAAATTAAATAACTAAAATATTTACTCTATAAAATTGAGTATCAAGTTTTTCTCACTTTGTTAAATCATAAAACAATTTGATAGTTAAAATTCAGTACATAAAACATTTGCGCGCTAAAATGCAGTACATGAAATATTTGCACGTTAAAATTCAGTACATAAAACATTTGAATTCTAAAATACAGTACATAAAATATTTGCTCGTTAAAATTCAGTATATAAAACATTTGCGCGCTAAAATGCAGTACATGAAATATTTTCACGTTAAAATTCAGTACATAAAACATTTGAACTCTAAAATACAGTACATAAAATATTTGCTCGTTAAAATTCAGTACATAAAACATTTGAACTCTAAAATACAGTACATAAAATATTTGTTCGTTAAAATTCAGTACATAAAACATTTGAACTCTAAAATACAGTAGATAAAATATTTGCTCGTTAAAATTCAGTACATAAAACATTTACGCGCTAAAATTCAAAACATAAAATATTTGCACGTTAAAATTTAGTGCATAAAACATTTGCTCTTTAAAATCCGGTAAGTAAAACAGTTGTCCGCTGAAAGTTAGTAACTAACACTTTCAAGCTAAAATTCAGTACCTAAGACGTTTGTACGCGAGAATTCAATAAATAAAATATTTTCTTGTTAAAATTAAATACATAAAAGCCTTGTGTGCTATATTTTAGTAACTGAAACATTTGCTTGCTAAAATTCAGTACCTAAAACATTCTATAGCTAAACATAAATCACTAAAACATTTACTTATTAAAAATACGCAACTAAAATACTGAGCTTAAGTGCTTAATGGCAAAATTTATGTATCTAAATTATTTACACGCTAAAATCCAGTACTTCTATTGTTTATTGATATGTCCTTAAAACATTTAAATTTCTATTTTCAATTATAAATTCAAACAATATATACAGGTCGTCCCAAGTATCTTGACAGAGTTTAAAAGTGACATTACTCCTTAAAAAAACAATATTATTGATTTTATTAATTACTTAATATTATTCTATGCAATAATATTGATCTCCCCCCGCAAAAAAATAATTATGGAAAATAGCACATGGTAAGTAATCACCATTTTGTGTCTCGCATTCTCGGCCTCTTTCCAACAAATCCCCCACAAATTTTGCCAATGAATTCGTTGATCTCAGTTAAGCCGCTGCTTCTAATCTACAGATTTTATTTTCTGTACCAACTCGATTTTGTAGGGAACTTGATGTAAATCTCACCTGATAATGCAGCCAGGTGATATCCGAATACCCATTCAGAGGCAAAGATCGCCTTCCGGTTGACATCGCCTTCTCTTCTTTGCTGCTCAATACGCCCTCAATATTTTCTTCTGTGCGAGCTGAACGAGGTCTCCCACTTCTTGGCAATTCAGGTACAGAGCCCCTTTGCGAGAAACGCCCCATCGAACGGCGAATCATTGATTCAAAGGACGGATTTCTCACGTTGATTCCACGTTGGTATTTCGTCAGAAACAAAGAAAAGAGTGTTACAGTTTTTTGTGTGTAACTAGTGAGCGAGTCAAAATGACTTAATTCCCTTTATAGTCTACAAATAGAAGGTGGACCAATCAGAAGCCGCACAACACTGTATCCGTCGTGTATAAACGCGGCCATCTTTGTTTTCCTATCGGAATGACCAGAGGCAACTTGTCCGACGAACAGGACAGACGGAAGAACTACGCTCTGCTACCTTGCTGCGATATCCACTGCGAACCTGCACTACGCTTTCCTACTGTCTCCGAAATATTCACTGCCAACCTCTGGATTCTATACTCGAAGACGACCGTCATGAAATGTCTAACACAGAGTAGTGAACAGTTATGCAATACAAATCCTCCTATATGACAATGACTGCTGGACAATCTCCTCAAAGATGAAGAAGAAACTTGAAATGTTGTCCTACAGAAGGATGCTGAGAATACCATGGACCAAATATGTGAGGATCGGTGAAGTTCTAGAGATAATAAAAAACAAAACAGGACAGTTATCCCTAATATCAGGAAGAAACAGCTGAAATCTCTGGGGCACATATTGAGGAAAGATGGCTTGAAAAATCATACTCCCAAAGAAGGTAGAAGGCAAGATGAACACAAGAAGACAACACATAACCTACCCGGTGAGGGTACTTCGACGTGATATAATGGTTAGTAAGCTTGTCTCGCTGTCATTTACGACTGAATAGTGAATTCGATCCTCACTGGGTGCCCCATACGTTTGACTTTGTGCCACATCTTAGCTATGAAAATCACCATAACCTACCCGTCAATCTTGAGAGAATAGAGGGTTTGGGTGAGATATCAAAATGAAAAAAAAATCAAGAGCTACAATAGACAGAAAATTGTGGAGAGCCCTTTTGCTAATGTCCTGAAGAGACCCGGCACATTGATTGTTTTTTTTTTTTTACGGCTTATCAGCTCTTTGCAAGCTATATAAAGCCAGATGTTTTTAGATTGTCAGAATTTTTTTGAGATAATAATTGTTTAGTGATACATGTCTTACTAATTAATCCATAGCTGGGGGAAGAAGAGATGGATTCCTACCTTCCCCAAAGATATTTACGCGTAAGTAAATATAAAGAAACCCACGGGAATTAGTACCCGGCACCCCGTTTAAAAATTCCGTGCCATCAGCCACTACACTAACCGCATATCCAAGCTTAGAGTACCTGGTATTCCAAAACTGTCGCCCATCTAGATACTTGCTAGACACGACGTTGCTTAACTTCGGTGATCGTGCGGGAACTGGTTTTTCAAAGTGATATGGCCGTACACCGACGGTGTTGCAGTTTTTTGTGTATATCTATTTACTAGTAAGTTAGCCCAGGTGACTTGACTCACTTTATAGTCCACCAATAGAAGGTTAACCAATCAGAAGACGTATAATATTCAATCCGTCGTGTATAAAGGCGGCCATTTTTGTTCAATCTACCCGAATGTCCAGTCCAGTTTGTCAGGCGAAGAGAAACAGAAGGACGAACTATGCTCTGCTACCTTTTACTAAAATATCCACTGCTAACCTGAACAACGCTTTCCTACTGTCTTCGAAATATTCACTGCTAACCTCTGGATTCTATATTCAAAGACGACCGTCATCATGAACAACAGACGGTACATAGAAGATGATACCTTTTGCGTGAAGGGATTTTAATGTTAAAAGTTATACAATTTCCGTTCATTCTTGAGTTATGAACTTATCGAAAAATAAATTCCCAACTTTCACTTTTCTAAATCTGAAAAAATAATTGAAAAATATTAATTACCTGATTGATTATTAAATATCAAATCCACATCCCGACTTCTGGGACAACATGCTGATATATTTAACGTTAATCTTAGTGCCAACATAATTGAATTTTTTTTTTTTCAAAAATAAAGTTGTGCAATTGTCGTTCTTTGACTTGTGAACTTATCCATAATAGAATTCTAGACTTGTAATATTCTAAAGTTGAAGAACTAAAAGAAAAATATTATTTCCCTGATTACTTATTAAATATGAAAACCCCATCGCGAGTTTTGTGGCACCCAGTAAAATATTTTTAATGGTATGTTGCTCTGCGATTTATCCATTTTAAAATTCCAGATTAAAGATGGGACCACAATTTTAATGTAGAGCATTTGAATGCAATTTAACACTTATTGCGCTACGGGATGAGTAGTTACTTTTGGGAGTCATCATCTTCAGCAAGATGCCAATGGTTGCCCTACCAGGAGTTTAGAACTCCCTACGACATCGTTCTCAGAGTCATTGTACCACGCAAACCCCTCCACCACGACATGACCAACCCCAAAGACACAGACAATAGAACAAACGGATAATGATTACAACAGATATAAACATTTAAACCAACGCATGCCTTATTCCATATATGTCGCAGAGGAAGGTCATGCAATCAAATGTGTGGGTCACTTCTTGGCAATTTGAAGTCCACCTTAAACAAATTCACGCAATTTATCCTTTTCTTCTAGTCTGAATTTCATCTACCTCTAACCAACACTTGAAATAGCCAAACGGCGATAGTGAATGGAAGACGGGTGCAGGTTTTGGTGAACCAGGAAGCTTCTAGTCTTGAATCTGCACGTTGGCGGCGAATGTATGTTTTCAAGGCAATTATCATGAAAGAAAATATCAATAAAGAAAAAATTAAGTTCTTGGAGACAAAATAAAGCCGACGATGACGAACCATTTTTAAAATTCCCGAATTATCTAAACCGCGAGTAATAGTTTACAGATTCATGAAAACTGACATAAAAATTGAAACAAGACGTAACCAAATGAAGAACATTGACAATGGTTTGATAGAACAATTCAACATTATGGTAACTCTTGCACAGCTCATTGGGAGATCAACAGGTCTGTAACATTCAATACCTCTAAAACCAATCTAGTGACGTTTCATAATCACAGAGAAGACCTTGGATTTTCTTCATTCATGATGAACAAACGCGCTCTCAATGATGTTCCCTACCTGGAACATCTATTGGTACTCAAGGTCACAAATGGCCTCAAGTGAAAAAAAAAGATGATGATTATTACAACATATCTCAAAGGTTAAACCAGCGGATGTAGAGGGCTAAACATGACAGACAGCGTCAGTCCGTTTCAATTTTAAAACTGGATACGATATGAAATTCTCTATGGGTTGGAATGGTAGTTCATGAAATCAAGTATGAGGGTTTCTTCCTGGAAAATTGAGGTCGACCATAAACGAATTCGTGCTATCGGCATTTTCTTATACGCTGATTTTCTTCCACCTTTAACCAGCACTTGTAAAGCCAAACGGAAATACGGAATGGATGACAGGAATAAACTGGAAGCTTCTCGTCCTGAAACTGCAGATTGGCGACGAATCTAGTTATCAACGTCATTATTATAAATAAAAAGGGTCAGAAAAGAAGAAATTAAATTCTTGGAGACGAAATAAAGCCGACGATGACGAACCATTTTTAAAATTCCTAAATTATCTGAACCGCGAGTAACAGTTTACAGACTCATGTAAATTGAGATAAAAATTAAAACAAGACGTAACCAAGTGAAGATCATTGACAACAGTTTGATAGAAAAATTTAACATTATGGTAACTCTTCCTGAGCTCACTGGGAGATTAACAGGTTCCTAACATTCAATACCTCCAAAACCAAACTAATGAAGTTTCATAATCACAGAGAAAACATTGGATTTTTATTCAGTGATGATTGATAATCGCACTTTCAACGATGTCCCTTGCCCGGAACATCTATTGGTACTCAATCTCACAATTGGCCTCAAGTGAAAAAAATGATGATGATGATAACATATCTCAAAGGTTGAACCAGCAGATGAAGAGGCTAAACATGCAAAGGATGACGTGAACAGATTTTGGTGAAACTGCAAGCTTCTAGTCCTGAACCTGCACGTTGGCAGCGAGTGTAGTTATCAATGTCATTATAATAAATAACGTGGTCAGCAAAGAAGAAATTAAATTCTTGGAGACGACGATGACGAACCATTTTTAAAATTCCTAAATTATCTGAACCGCGGATAATAGTTTACAGACTCATGTAAACTGAGGTAAAAATTAAAACAAGGCGTAACCAAGTGAAGAACATTGACAGCAGTTTGATAGAACAATTCAACATTATGGTAACTCTTGCACAGCTCATTGGGAGATCAACAGGTTTGTAACATTCAATACCTCTAAAACCAAACTAGTGACGTTTCATAATCCCAGAGAATACCTTGATGAACGGCTGTACTATTAATGTGGCTCCTTGCCTGGAAGATCTATTGAAATTCAAGCTTACCCCAGACCTCAAGAAAAAGTTTTATATAAGATCGATCGCTAAAGTATCTGGGGAAATGATTGATTCCTTGTACCGCTCCAGAATGATCTTTCTACCATGCCCTATCATTAAAAATCTTGACCCCCACCCTTTTATTGTAAAGAAAGCGAAATATAACCGCCACTTCTACTCCAGCAGTTTCTTTTCTTGTACTTCCCACCTGTGGAACACCCTTCCGTTTACTTGCTTCCCTGATAAATACAATCTGGAAAAAAATAAATGCAATGTCAATCGACATCTTTTGTCTTCTTGAATCCCGTTCATCATTTGCCCTTTTCTCAACCTCCCCTATACTCTTTTCTTTCACTTTCTCTCATTGTAAACCCCCTTGCGTCTTAGTGGCATTATCGCCTTGCCTGAGGTGAAATAATTGCAAAACAAAATGCCCTAACAACAGAATTTGGTTTGGAAGCGCTTTTTTTTTCTTTTTCTTTTTTTTGCCAGCCATAGAATTTTTCGGTACCTTCGTATGCGTGTTATAAGAGATTAGACAGAAGCCGGTGTCGGGGAGTGGACTTGGGATAGTGGTGATGGACGCTATAAATCCACTGGTAACTATTATCAAGTTTTTTCCATTGATGACAATCATGCTGATAATGTTGTGATGACCATCTGCTATGACGAAGACAATGAAGTTTTCTTTTTCTTTTATTTTCCCCCAATCCTTTCATGAAATTATAAACACTTGCCGCTTTCGGCACCACCGTTAGCAGCACAAAATGTTAAATGCAAACCTCCGTTCGTTCCGACCCCCTTCTCCACCATCGTCTATTTAAGAGATCAGCAGTCCTTCCTCAACGCCACTCCATCCACCCCCGCATCTTACTGTATAATTCTTTTCGTATATTTTTTTACTCTGTTTCTCAATACAGTTTTACTTTCCGTGTGAGTTCGACTTATGACGTATTTTGTACTCGACTTGTTGAAATTCACTTCAGCCATATGTGACAACGCCAGAAGTAATTTTTATGTTCTCTCTCTCTTTTACACAATCTAATTTTTACTCGGTTTTATAGTCAGTTAATCTGATTCATTGCTTTGTTTGATGTTCGAACACGTCAAATAATGTGTATTTTAGATTTTAATTTGTTTTTATTTTAACTAATTGTCCGTTTGATATCGATAATAATCTTAGTGTTTATATGTTTTAAGACGATATAAATAAAATAATTTATCCATCATAAGAGTAATAGTAAAATTAATGGTAATAGTCAAATTAATCTAATGTCAAAATTAATGGCAATAATAAAATTAATGGTAATAGTCAAATTAATGGTAATGGTAGAATTAATGGTAAGTAATAAAATTAATACCAACAGTCAAATTAATGGTAATGGTGAAATTAATGGTAATAGTCAAATTAATGGTAATGGCAAAAGTAATGGTAATAGTCAAAATTAATGATAATGTTAGAATTAATGGTAATAGTCAAATGGTAAAATGTTAATTGCAAAATTAATGGTAATATTTATAGCGAAATTAACCGTTTCCTTATAAGGAAACATTAGCCATTCATTGATTGGATACTTAGCGTTACATTTGCTTGAAATTTATGAAACATTTTTCTTAAAAAAGTTCTTTTTAGGAAACTTATGATCCACGTAAAATATGAAGATGACAATGTTGACAGCAGACACGGAAAGGAAACTACAAAAGCTCGTACAGAAAATAGGGAAGGAAAGCGAGAAGAAAGGACTAACTATAAACTACAGAATGCATTGCTATCAGCAAATGGATGAGCCCAAAATACAAATTAGAAATTAGAGATATCAAAATCAAACAAGTACAAAAATTTAAATATCTGTGAATTGTTCCAACAGAGGACGGAAAGATGTATTGGGATGGCCAAAGATGCCTTCCAAAAGCTAAGCAGAGTATTAAGAGACAGAAAAATTTCGTTAGAATCAAAGAGAAGAGCACTGGACTGTTACGTGATATGCAATGTAAAT